AACTATACATTCCTGGGGGTCCTACTAGATCTACTCAATTGAAATATCTGGAGTCTGATCCAAAAAATCTGTCTTCACTGCCCTTTCCAGGTGATTCTAATGATCCCAAATGTTTACAAAACACAGTAGCTGTGTACTTTTTTGATTCATTTAAAAACCTACATGAAAAAGGATTGTCTTCCTCTCTACTTGTATCACTTGGTTAAGAAACTCAGACGAAATACTAACACATGGAGAACACCAGGGCTGACTGTCTCCCCGGATGCCTGCATGGGGGTAACAGAAACATTTAGAGAGCACTATCTGGAATAAAACATTCTCATAAATGTCAGTCCGAGGTAAGAAAGCAATAATGAATCTTTATACATCTTGTGTCAATTACCTCATCATTCAAAAAAACCCAATCAGACTAAAATCGGATGTTTCAACCCCAAAATTAACTTAAGGCATCCAGAGACACTTTTTAATGTTATAGATGAGAAACTTGAGAGGCAGGGACTGGAGCATGACAACACAGGTATTGGTTGGATCCGGGATCCAGATGTTCCAAGCAAGCCCAAGGCTCTTCCCACCATCAATCTATTTTCCTTCCTTCCCTGCCCCCTTTTCTTTGCTCATATCAGAAACACATTCCAACTTCAACTCTTCTTTTTCTCTGCCCAAGTGATGAATCCTCTTTTCCCTTCATCCTAAGTTTTTCTCCAGTGTCCAGAATTACATTCAACCCACATCTCTCTATGGAGGACTTTCTTAGTCTTTCAAAGTCACAGGTTGTTTGAGGAAAAAAAAAAGAAAAAAAAAAAAAAAAGACTGCTCCTCAAGCACTGTAGATAGTTTTTAGTTGGTCAGAATACATTTTTCCCCAAACATAATATTGAACATATCTTTAACATAAGCATTTCCTTGTTAGTTTCTGTTCTACAACCTTGCAGCTTGTGCTCTACCTTTGAGCAAATTGTTTATAGCTGACATTAAATCTCTTGAGATTCTTCTTCAAATAACATATTAGAATCATTTTGACCACAAAAGAAATGAACATCTTGTCATATCAAATGAAAGATTCCATGGGGAACATGTGCCTTCAGCATCAGAAATGTGGTTATTTACATTTCAGACAAGATACACTTTTTTGTCCCCCTCTCCACCAAGGTGAAATTATCTACAAATTGAATATCTTTATTTGGATGACAGGGGCTTACAAGAGTTACTTCCAATGGAAATAGAGAAATATGCACCTTGAGTCAAAACACTGATGTGTTTTTCATTCAGCAGAATTCATTTTGAATGATCTGAGTGTTTTATTGCCTACCTCCTAAACTTAAGGATCCTCAATAAAATTGGTCCCATATTAGGTGCTAGTTTACACCAGGCAAACATTCAATTGATCTTTTTAGAGTAGGCATTAGCTTAAAACCATGGTAAGAGCCTAGATATCCATCAACAGATGAATGGATAAAGAAGATGTGGTATATATATATATATATATATATACAATGGAATACTATGCAGCCACCAAAAGAAATGAAATCTTGCTATTTGCAACAACGTGGATGGAACTAGAGGGTATTATGCTGAGCGAAAAAAGCAATCAGAGAAAGACAATTATCATGTGATTTCTCTGATATGAGGAATTTGAGAGACAAAGTTGGGGGTTTGGGGGGTACGGAAGGAAAAAATGAAGCAAGATGGGATCAGGAGGGAGTCTAACTATACAAGACTCTTAATCTCACAAAACGAACTGAGGGTTGCTGGGGGAAGAGGTGGGTAGGGAGAGGGTGGTTGGGTTAGGGACATTGGGGAGGTGACATGGTATGTAAACCTGGTGACTCACAGACCTGTACCCCTGGGGCTAATAATACATGATATGTTAAGGAAAAAAAAAAAGTTAAAAAGATAAAAGAAAAAAAAAAGTAGGCATTAGCTTAATACAGATTCCTTCATTTCCAGGACTCTAATCTTTATTACCTTTTTCTTTAAACCTAAGGATGACTGAAGTTTTCCTTTTAAAACACCTACTTAACTTACTTCAAAACTCCTTAGTTGGGTTAACTATGTTTGGCATGGGTTTCTAAATTTAAATTTCAAATGTTACATGTAACGAATTCTCAGAATCTTAAACACTCGGTGTATAACATCAAACTTTTTCCAGATGTAATTTTCTATGATTTTTACTAATTTGAGAATCTCCAAAGGAAACATCATATTTTAAATTATACTTCTTAATAACTGAAATGAAGTTTCTTCCCTAGGTAACAATTCCCTGAAGGTTTTCATTACATCATCATATGTTTATAACTTCTTGTTAGATTAGGTGTCAGACCATATGATGAAAAATGTCTGGCACATGGAAACACTATAGTGAAACAGTAAACTAATGAGTCAGACTAATAATATTCAAATCCTGCCTTCTCTGTTTACTACCTGGCAGACTGCACAGATTTTTAAACTCTTTCTGTATCAGTATGACTGTTTTACTATTGTTGTTGCTTTATTAAGAAGATTTATTTTTTAAATTTTATTTATTTGAAAGAGAGAGAATGAGAGAAGAGAGAGCATGACCGAGGTGAGGGGCAGATGGAGAAGCAGACTCCCCGCTGAGCAGGGAGTCTGATGCAGGGCTTGACCCCAGGACTCTATCCCAGGACTTGATCTTGGGACGCTGGGATCATGATCTGAGTGGAAGGTAGATGCCCAACTGACTGAGTCACCCAGGTGCCCCTGTATGATCATTTTAATAGTATTTGCTTAATAGAATCAGATGAGGTAAGATGGTACCGTGCTTGGAACAGTGTTGGACAGAGTGTACCATATTAATACTACCCATTGTTATTATTTTTATTATTAGATAAGTAGGCCTATTATTATTATATAGTATAGTAATCATTCTATTATTTCATGCTATATTGTTATTCAAGTAAGCACTTGCTAATTATGAAATGATTGACTATGGAAATACATTCCTTTTACTGAACTATTTGAAGTTCACATTTCATTACATTGAAATAGACAGAGCTCTTATGGAGTATAAGTAAAGATTGGAAATTGCATATGGTTTGCATCTAAGTCCTTTTCCTACGAGATGGTTGAGGATTATAAGGGCCTGGGCTAGGCAGTGAGGACCTCTCAGGGTAGGGGATGAGCAGATAGAGTGACTTTTACTAGATCCTGGATTCAAAGCAAAGAGTTAAGATGGGAAGAGAAGAAAGCCAACATCTGTAAGTCAGGGAATCAAGCCACCAACAGAAAGTGCAGATGCCAAGGAACTGGAGAACCAGGGAGGCAACAGTAGAGAATGATGGGTCAGTGACAAGCCTGAAGTCACTGAGACAAATCCAGGGGTCAGTGCTAGCCTTATGAGACCTCATGCCTGGGCAGGAGGTTGCATAGACCGGGCATTGGTGCCTTCTGCACTTCTATTCCTGCCACTCTGCTTTGACTGCACCAAACATAACCTGTACTTGTCTTTTCAGCAAAGACACACGCTCAAGGTGATTTCCCTACCTTAAGAAAAAGTGGTATACATGTGCAACCTCATCCCCAAAAACAGAAAGCACCTCCCTCCGTAGCAAAAAGATAAAATAAACATTCACGTGTCCCCTGACAGCAACACATGTGTCAGAGTACAGCAAACAATGTGATAAAATCTTCAACAGAACCTGAGAACTAGAGGCTGCGGCAGATGCTGCAGCTAATAACTTTCAAGCATCTCAAAGATTACCTGAGGGAAAAGAAACAAACAAAATAACAGAACAAATGTCAGATCCATAAAATTGACTTGTATCTGAATGAAGGCATCTCCCGAAAGTGATCTTTATCTGAATCAGATTTTTCCTAAAGTGGGGGCAGGGACAAGGAATTCTAACTAGATCTTGCTCTTGGTATGTTGAATATTCATCTTGTGAAACAGAACACAATTTGCATAATGTGGGGCCCAGGTCTGTGTGCAGGAACACCCTTCAGGGAACTAGATGAAGCTTCCAGGATAATAAGAACATTTTCTAGTTCACTGCAGAGGAAATCCACAGCTCAAACTTCATTTTTTTTGACAGGATTTCCCAGATTTGCTCAAGAAAATGCCCCAGAGAATGTTTCTGCTTAAGTTGTGTATGTTTGTGTGTGTGTGTGTGTGTGTGTGTGTAATGTCTGTATATACATTTACATATAGTTTTTTGTTGATAATATTTACCAACAACAGTTTTAAGTAATTCACATGAATATGACATGCAAACCCAAATAAAACATTTTTCTTTGAGGCACCATGAATTTAACCTGTCAATTTCTGCTCAACGGATAGTGAAAAGAAATACTTTCATCTAGGTCTCTATTGCTTGGTTCTGTGGCAGAAATTCATTCTAAGTACACTACAACATGTGGACACAGCACATCTGAATGTGAATTATTTGTAAATAGTAAACATTCCAGAAGAAATCATATGGCTAAAAAGGTGCTCAACTTCTTGCATACATTATTACAAAACAGAAAGTCTTGCTTAGATTTAAATGCAATATGCATTTTATATTAGAAGTAGTTCCCCAATAAAACACAAACACAACCTGAATTCCTAGTTTTAAAAGAACTACTCTCTTTAAATTTTCCCTTTTTTAGAATTTGCATGAATTTTGTTTCTATTTACAAAATAATCTTTTACAAGAAACTCTCCAAGACAAGCACATTTCTAAAGAGAAATAAAAAAGATTATATTAACATCACCTCTTTCAAAATCACTCAATTTTCCAGACTAGTTCCAAACTAGTTCATCTTTTTTAATGTGCAAATGCACAACTTTAACAGGTCATACTACTTTTCTGCTTGATATACTGATATTATCAAACATTGATGAATAATGAATCAACAGCCCCTACGGCATTGTATAGAGATCAAACATTAAAGCAAAAATGGCAGAATCAATAGACACAGATCCTTTTCATTTCTGTTGCTGCTGTTACTGTTATTTTGCAAGCTATTGAATGAATGGCCAATATCTTTGGCATGTTACTTACTGATGGGTAGAGGTAACCTTCTCCATTCATGGCTATATACAACCCTGTCTTCACTCCCTGGATGGCAACAACGCGCAGTCCCACTGGTATGAGGTTGAACAGTGCTGCAAAGATAAACAACCTGTCACAAATGGGCTGGGATAAACAAAACCTTGCCATCATTTTTCCCTCCCTCATTTCTTTTATTAAAAAAAAAAACTGATAATCTTTGTTACAACCTTCTGAGAAGTTCCAATTAATTAACTTTTATTTCTCTTTATAACTAAGATGTTTCTGCAATGGATAAATTTAGCACTTGAGCTTCAATTTGTATACCTTAATGGTCTGCCTATAGCATTCCAAAGAACTGACAGAGTAATAAACAGAGTCAACCCTGGAATCCCGATTCTAGGATCACAGTGTCTGACCTCATTTGATACCAAAAGAGACCAGCTATGAAGATTCTCAAAGAGTGGAATTTAAAAAGTCAAAGTTCAATGCTTATTCTGGTCTTTCATGCAGAAGGTGTGCTTTATCACTGCAATGTAGGACAGGTCACATGTTAAAAAGGTAATTCCAAAACAGAATTACTCTTGCTGAACAAATATGAGATGCCAGCAGAGCCCAGAAAAGACGTGCACTGCCAATGTACTCAATTTAGAAAGAATTAATCATACTGAACAGCATGCACATTTTAGAGAGACATTTCCTTTACTAATATCTTATAAAGCTGTGAGTGATAACTAAAATAAAAGAGGGAAAAGTGTTCAATTTTACCCATCCAAGATAAAAACTCATTTATAGTTCCATGTTTCGTTTCTTCCCTTATTGTCAAGGAAAGTATTTTTATATATTTTTACATAGCACAGAAAGCAATGTTATCATTGATTTCTTATAAAGTCTTAACATTCCTTTAACACATTTCCATGCCAGGGTTATATGTTAACTCTTCAGTAGGTGTTCTAGCACCTTTCTTAGTAATAACTGCTTGATGGTTTGGGCGACTTTATTGTAGATATGTTTATAAGAGTAGTTAATTATCCACAGTGTGGTTATCTGCTCCCATGGTCTTAACTGAAGACTAATTCCAAGCAACTGGACCAGGCCTGAATAGGCAACGACAGCACTGAGATGCTGAAGTGAATAAGTAAACAAAATACCTATTTTAGGTTCTCAACTGTTTTCCACAAAGACAGATCATTGGGAAAACTGGGCCACATTGACTTCAATCCATGAGTCTACTCAGTACATAATTAAAAATGGACTTTATAAATTAATTTTTATTTAATTAAATAAAATTATGCATTGTCAGGCTGGGGGGGAATTATACCCTCTCTTTCAATTATTACATGTTACTGATCCCAAGATCTCAAGATGTCTGTGATGAAAGGAATATGGTGGGCCATGGCCATAGATAATTACACCTACAGGGATACTCAGAGGAGTGTATATGGTTCAGTGGATATTAGCTTTCATGATGCAAACTACTATTGAGACATCTTCCATGGGATTCTAGGGGCTTATGTTATAGAAGAATGAGGTTTATGCTCGCTCACTTCTATTAGTAAAACAGTAAACAGGAGTGGGAATCATTGAGCAGTTATGAGGTACTTGTGTCATTGTAACTCAGTATTCCTTCTTCTTGGGAGACGGCCACTGGCCAATTCCCCTCTTGGCCAGAACACCTAGACTGTCCCATCTGCCTTATATTTTGAAAGGATGGGCACCATAGAACAATTTCTGATTGATACGCAAAAGTTTTAGAGAAAAAAAACACAATTATATGACTGTCCTTGAAAACCATTCTAACTTAACCATTCAAACTTAACTATTCTCATCTTTATATACTCTTGATAGTATTTATAGGTGCCACATATTTGATATAGGCCAGATGTTATAATTCTAGAAAGTAAGAACATATGAAGTAACCAAAATAATGTGGTATAGGAAAGAGAAAAATTACAAATGATAGCCTAAAATGATCATATAAAAAATAGATTTTCCTTAGGAATTTGGTTGGGACCTGAATTATAAAATGTCAGTTATTATCATTTACAGAATGATAATACAAAGTGAATCCATATAACCACTTCCTGTGGAAGCCCGTTCAGAGCTGACCATAAAGAATTCATGGTGTTAATTAAAACTGCAGATATCCACATTAATTGAGGCATCATTTTATTTTTCTATTCTTCTTGTATTTCGTGTAATTATAAAGCAATGTCACAAAGCCTAGGGAAGTCAGAACAATAAAACGTTCATGCTACTTTGTTCTGTGGGACAGCCTAGTTTTCCATATAATGGTGATTTTCCATTCTGGCTATACTTTAAAACCAGCTGCATTTATAAGAGAGGACAGCCCTGCCCAACTGCGGACTAATTAAATTAAATAAGAATCTCTGGAAGAGAGATTGGGGTTTAGGGCATAAGGAGGTCTTTTTAACTTTTTTTTTTTAAAGTTCCTCAAATGACCCTAAAGGACAGCCAGAGTGAAAATCACCATCCCAAGGCCTGTGGGTTGGTGGTCACTGTGAGTGATGGGCAATTTTTACATATCAAATTATCAGGTAGAAATTTCTAAGATGATAGGGCTTGGTGCATGTGAGGTTTTAATATCGCTATAGTTACTGGCATATTGATATTTCTATAGTCATATTCCACATAGAGCATTTATTAAGTCTGGTAATGGGAGTAATTAAGTTTAAGAGCACAGGAAAACCTTGTGGCATCCCTAAAACAACGGGAGGGGGGGGAAATCACCTCTTAATCAAATGCCATAGTTCATGGTAATGCTAACCCTTAGTAGATAGATGGGAAGCTATATGAGTTTTACACGGATACACCCCTGAAAATGAATCTGGTGATGCAGTAATCTGGGTGCTCATTTCTTTCTGTGAAAGATCTTTCTAGGGTACATGGAAGCCAATAAGAAGCGGTCAAGTTGCTACAGTATCTTCTCTGTTTGGACCAATCGTCCATCATCAGCCGTCGTCTTACCATTTTTCCTCTCAGAAATTTCTAGATCTCAGGCTGGAAAACCCAGGGAGGACTTTAGTGTTAGGCTCACCTGCCTGCTGGCCTGTCTCTTTCTTCTCAAGTCATCTGAAAATTTTGACAAAGGGCAGCTTCGTAGGGTGGTTCTGACTTTACCTAGTTCTTAATAAGCTCATGTTTAGCTGTGGGAAATGAGTCCAACTCAAATCACGAAGATTTGAAGGTTCAATCCTCAGTTTTGTTGTTTGTAACCTCTACTATGGCATCAGGGTGACTCTTAGGGCATTTCTCTTTATTTTTCCTACTTACAGTTGACTAATTCTTATTTTGTATTCAAAGAATTATCAAAAATCTAAAACACATGTGTGAATTACTACATCATACCCTAATGCAAACCAAAAGGGCAATGTTCCCATGAGGACCTGGTTGCCAGCATCTTTATTGCTCCCCCCCTTTTTACAGAATATTGTTCACAGTTTATGGTTTTCTCAAGACTCATAAGATTGCTATAATGAACCAGAGAAGGAAATTATCTTAAATTCCACCTAAAAAAAGCTGTGGTTTTCAATTGCAAAGGTGATGGTACCCAAAAGTAGAGTTAATTAGTAACTCCCATGGCTTTTTATAAAGCTATTGTACTCCTGCCATGTTTTATTAAATTTTAGGGTCATGCAATTTTTATAGCCTTTTGAGAAGTGAATCTTTACCTCACCTTGTTTTGCTCTCTTTGCTATGTCTTTGCAAATGTTGAAATGGTAATAAAACTAACCTAATGAGCTAAATGTGCACAGAAAGTGCAGTGTAACTTGTAAGAAAAGCAACTGCGGCCCATAGTGGCCCTTGAGTGCGAGCACTACAATTTGGTTCTGGTTTGCTTGGACACAGGAGCTGCTGCTCCTGCTTCATTCTTCACCAGCATTTAAGGGGGATGAGAGAGGATTCCAAGTGTTGCTCCAAGATTCCTGTTCCTTCTAATACGGTTACACAGCAGGAGAAAAGAAGCCTTACACATTTAGAGAACAGAAGGTTGTATCTCTTTCAGGGTCTCAGCTGTCCAGTGTAGTATTGAATATGGTTCAGATAACCAGATACAATTACGTGTGTGTGCATATGATGTCTACATCTGCACATTCACAGTTTAGAAAATACTGTGCTGCTGATCAAGTTCTGAAGCAATATGCCGTAGAAGACAGCATCTACCTAACACTTCTTAATTCAGTATTGATTTCTATCATTAAAAACAACCAACCTGTTTGGCATTACAAAAAACAAAGAAGAAGGTAGAAAAGAAATGCATAAAACCTTTGAAGGAAATTATTTTTCTGAGAAGTCCAACTAAACAGCATTTTATATAGCTATGGTTTATTTCCTTTCTTGAAAACTTTGTCATAAGGGATGGCCTCAACCTCTAGGTCAGAATTTCCTAATTCTTTCAGGTATCAGAATTATGGAAAACTAGTCCTCACTCTCAGTCGGACTTTGGCTGAAGGAAATCAGAGAACACTGAAGACATCAGAACTTGTGAATCTCGAGAGTCCATAACCCCACAAGTATAAGACATAAGAAAAAGAGAATGCCTTTTGTCAAAGAATGGGTAAGGAGTTCAAGATAGAAGAAAATGAGCAGACATACATGTATTAGCTTGAACCAGAAGAAACTGACATCTTTTATTGATCAAAGATGGTCAAGTCCTTACACTTTCAAAAAGTTCAACCTAATAGCAAAATCCCAACAAGTAATCAAATGGTTGACATCAGTTTTATGAGTAAAAATAACTTCTCTTTCTTCCTTGTGCTTGAATTGCTTTACCTTCTCTTTCTTTAAATAGAAGGAGGAAATAAACAACAATGACAAAGAATCAATGAACAAATATGATAGAGAAAAGTTTAAAAAGACAAAAGGGCAACATAATAGACACAAAGAGAGAAAAAGGTAAGAAATTGAAAAGGAGGGAAACACAGACAAACAGAAAAAATTTAAAGTTGAAAGAAAAATTTTAAATGAAGTAAAGTCCAAAGTCTAAAGAGTAAACACAATGGCTGGAAAAATACTGACATTACACATAGGGACACCAAATGCAAAGGCAGTCTACTTTATGTTATTAGTTATTCTTTATGCTATTGAAAATTTGATTACTAGAATTGAAAACAGAAAGTGCCCGTAATTTGTGTATTCAAATCCTCCCTTCTTTTCGTGGAATGATGCTCTGTAAATGAAGGATAAATGCTAAATGGTTTAAATGATTCATATCCATTCCTGATCCACTAGTAATATGTGAATAAGTATTTCCAATAAAATCAGTTTTGCTTTTCATTGATTCTCCTGAGCAGTAAAAACTGTCTATTTTAGAACTGATGTGCTAAATTAAAAGGAATCTGATGCCAGTATAAACAGGAAATGGGAAAGGAACACACAGACAATTGAATAAAGGGGGACACCAGAATGAAAATACAAAGAAAAGTTATATATTAAAAATACCAAAATGAAGACAGACACTAATACAATAGAGGGTCAGTGGTTTTTCAATTAAAGACAAATCATCAGAGACCCAATTCTGTAAAGCAGTGAAACATTTTGTACAATGTCTTTAAACGCACAGAGCCTTCATGTCCTCTCTCTAAAAAAGATACTATCTTTTCTTGTTGAAGACACATTTGAAATATTACATTTCTATTCTTTGAAACAACTAATCCTTATAGCTCTTTAATTTCCATAATTATCATTAAAAAGCTACAGGTTTGATAAAAATATTTCCAAGGTAAACATGGATTCGTCTTTCATCCAAATGCACTAGTGTACTTACTTGACTTTTATGAAATGAAAGTAACAACAATGCTGGATCTGCCAATTGTTTTGAGAAAAAAAAAAAAAAGAGAGAGAGAAACGAATTATCTTAAAATGACAGGCTTTGTGTGTTGCTCTGTTCATGTTTTCATCCACGTGGTCTCAGTAAAATTGTGGATGGCCTTCTAGTGTGTAACATTCACAAAAATGAACCAACGTAACAAGTATTTGTAAATGTAGCTTAGAAAGTCATTTATGTAGCAGTGTATGTTCTACCGACTGTGTTAACGGGAGGCCTGAGGTCGTCACTTACTAGAATTAGTGCTGTCATCCTTGGTTCCATCGAGAGCTCCATCGGGGTGCATTTGCAAGTAGTAGCCTTGCCTGCAATATAACCTGGTCACTATACCCTTGAGCTGGGGATCTGAAAGGCAAACATAGTTATCATAAGCCTCACAACGTGTCACAATAGAGTTTCTTATTTCTTTTTCTGATTTTTTTTTTCTTTTTCAGAAGAGGGCATTTGATAGAAGTAGCACCTTTGATTCTGTGTCTCCCAGATTCCTCTGTATTCCTCTAACCTGGCACATACTAACCGTAGAAGGTCAGAAGCTGCATGTGTCAGCTGCAGAAACTGGGTCATTTCATAAAACTAACATGTGGATTTAAATGATTAATTAGAACAATTAAGCTACCAAATCTATTGGTGTAATTTTAGTTAAATCCTGAGCTAATTAGTTTAATATCATTCAGGATAGCCATACAAGAGTTTTGCAAACTTCTGGTTCTAAGAAGCCTTTAATAAGGCTTTTTAATGGATTTTTCTTTTTATTTAATTTGACCAGTAATCCCAAAAGGTGAAGAACCTGTATTTTTTTTTTTAAATCAAACTAGCATTTTGATATGCATTCTTAGGAAAAAACCTCATTATGGAGAATGTTTCTTTGATGTCTAAAGGGTCACTGTCACTGGCCTGGGAGCATCTGGTACTTATGCATGACCCATAGAAAAATGAGAAAGTTGATTTCTAAGCTCAAGGTAAGACACAACAACAAAACTCTGCTGTGAGATCATCTCTGTGACCATGATCCAGACAAATTAGACATATTAAACTGATGTATAACTAAAAAGGAGAGTGAAATTATTTGATTTGATTCTTAACCAAAAGGGCCAAGGATAGAGGACAGTGGGAGTTTATTAAAACGAAAAGGGAAATTATATGGTAACAGACTTCTTATTTGATGCATTGAAAAGATAACCAGTGAAGTGACTCAGGCTTTATAAAGGGCCAGTTGTACCTTTGAAAATAAATATTTACATATGGCTTTTCAAAGGTCATCCCCATCTCATGACTGGATTTGATGTTGGACATCATAGTCCTCACCATGGCAACTGGCACCTCTCCACTACTGCTGAATGGGACTTGCAAATGCGATCAGATCATGCTATCAAAACAGTAGATTGGTACAGAACAATGAAGTCGACCATCTTGTAATTGACAGAAAATTTGTGGATTAGCCAACAGGTAAAAACAAAAAAATACACATGCCAAAAAAAAAAAAAAAATGTTGTTCCAAACCAGAATACCCTTAGCCTTTTGTTTAATGCTCAAAAAATTAAAAAGAATGTCAATATCTATTGTCACGTACATATGATAGAACTAATAATTTCAAAAATAACCTTATGGTACACAGATTTTCTTCGAAGATCATATGAGAATGAAGAAAATCTGGGAAATAATGCATGAACACCACAGCATCACATCAGTCTGACTAAATATAATAGAATGTAGATGCTTCTAGAAGACGAGGATTAAAAAAAATCTAAGTGATTATTGGGATTATGTGACATTTGTTCCTTATTCTGTAGTATATACCTTTAAAATTCACACACAATTCTAAGATGTGCATTAGTGGGAAAATTACTCTTGTGCCTTAGTCCACCCATTTCTCAGTAAAATTGGGCTACTGACTCTCTAAGTATCAAGGACTTCTTTTCTTATTTATGCTGCAATGTATTTATGCTCATCACTGAAAATAAGTGGCATGGAAAAGAAGAGAACAAAGGTAAAACGGCAGGTTCTTAATTGTCATGATGACATACAGAGGATTTCAGAGATTGGTAATTCTTCTGTAAAACCTTTATGTTCTGAATGACTTACTTTTGAATTCTACATTTTAGCTTACTACATCTTCTAGACCTGAATTAAGTAGGTCAGGCAAGGCAGTACAAGACATACAACTCCCACAAGCTCCCTCACACTTTAACAAAAAGAACACTTTTTTTTTTCCTTTTCTATGATCAAAAAGACAAGGGATAACAGGTATTGGTAAGGATGTGGAGAAGGGGAATCTTTGTGCATTGTCGGTGGGAATGCAAATTGGTGCAGCCACTGTTGAAATAGTATGGGTTTCCTCAAAAAATTAAAAATTGAACTACCACATTCAGCTGATCCAACAATCCCACTTCTGGGTACACAGCCAAAGGAAGTGAAATCAGGGTCTTAAAAGAGATATCTACACCATATTCACTACAGCATTATTCACATTAGCCAAGATGCAGAAACATACAAGTGTCCATTAGTGATTGAATGGATAAAGAGAATGAGGTATCTATACACAACAGAATATTATTCAGCTTTAAAAAGAGGGAAATTGTGTCATTTGTGACAACATGGATGAAACTAGAGGACATAAGACTGAGCTTTTCGTCATGACACCTGATTTCTGATAAGGAAGTATAAGCAAAATACAAAACTTGTGTTTTTGAATTCTCACTAAATTTCAAAGAAACGAGATGAAATTGGGATCCATGTATCAAGTTTCACATTATTTGATGTCTTCTCTTTAGAAACCATAATAGCATTGTGCTCTTCTCAGGTGCCAGGCACTGTTCTTAGTACATCGCAGGATTAACTCATTGAACTCATCACAAATTACTTAACGGGAAGCCCACTTTGAAGATGAGGAAATGGAGACAGAAAGATGGAGTCATTGACAAGCATAAAACTGATAAGTGCCCAGCTGGGGGTTGAACAGGATCCTGCCACCATAACCACTAAGCTAGGTGGCCTCTGGAAGTTGAACAATGGACTGTAACTTTATAAAAGCCTAAAATAAAATGCAAACCAATCTTTTTTTTCCTTTTAAACTAGGTTTTTAAAGATTAACCATGGCTGTATCTAACCCAAATCCTGCACACTTGGAGCTGGATCTGTGATTTAAAACAACATGAAGTTAGAATCAAAGTGCTTGAAAATCTCTTCTACTATCTGCCCCACTTTGTCGTTGGCCACATTTCCAATAAGTCTCCACCTGTGCGATCCCCACCGAGGTTGCAGATCTAATCCTGTAGGCTTAAACTGGTCTAGTGCCATTCTCCAGAAGGTACTTGTTGCCTTGACTAGGAGACTCATGTGAACTGTCTCAGCCACTCACATCCACACTGCACTTGCTTTTGTCATTTCACTAAACAGTTGCCTGGTTCCTGCAGATTCTGTCTTCACAATCTCCCTCCCTTTCCCCTGTTCTAGCTTCACCACGGGAAGCACTGCAGCCCCTCCTGACCTCTCCTAGGTGGTCATCCCATGGGCAGTGTGCTTGTTCCAATCCAGCAGATCCAGCAACATGCAGTGAATCACTCACACGCCCCACAGCAGTGGGGACCCATCTTACCTGACCCGCCTGGTTTGAAAGTGCTCCATGCCAACCTCTGCACGTAGCCCAGCCTGGGTCCCTGGGGACTGTCTGCAAATATCCCATAATCTCTCACTTCTATCATGTCCCCTTTACCTATGCTCACCTGCATAAAGATGCCTCCTGGCCCTTCTGTGCACATACACCCACATGCATTCATCTTGGCACACTTAACTCCATTTCCTCCTTTCTCAAGTTCACCTCCATCAACTCTTCCTCTGAGGCACTTTTCTGACACCTCAGATGAGTTCAGATTCCTCCTCTGAACACTTCCATGGCAGCATTCTTCATAAGCATTACTCATTTTTAAAATATCAAAATTTTCCATTTTGAAGTGATTTTACTACAGTAAAAGTTACAGGAAATAATACAACCTACACCTATGTACCCATCATGCAAGTTAACAAGTCTTAGTATTTTGCTTTATAATTCATGATTTGAATTTCATGTTTATTTGTGCAATTATATGATTGATATCTGCTCCAAACTCTACTGTACGTTTTGTGAAGAAAATCAAAATGTATGATATTGCTCAACATTACATCTCTAGGGTCTAGATAAATAGGAGCTGGGCGATATAAGTTTTTCGAATGAATGTTGACAGTGTTAGAGTGTAATTTATCTAGTAATTTCATATATTGCTAATAAAAACTTGCAAAAATAACAAGAAATCCAGGATGGCAACAAAGTCTAAAAATTGTCTAAAACTTTTGACCGGGTAATTGTACTTGCTAGACTTGTAACTTAAAAATAAGTCTTCAGTGTTATAAACTTTTGTGTAATGACATATGTATATATAACATGAGCATGACTATGTAAAAATTATTATCCATGGGGGAAAATATGGGAAAGAATACATCAAAATGTGAAAAATTAATATATTTTGTTGGTTACTAGAATATATATTTTTCAACATTTTATTATTTAAAAGCTCTTGTATAATTTTATAATGAAAATGCAGATTTACTATTAACGCCTTTTGACAAAGAATGTGTAAAGATAACATTTCATACATACTTGCAAACAATATTGCATACATATATGCAAATAACCTAATGCATATTACTGTTGTAGATTAATTGGTGCCCCAAATTTTCAAGGATTCCACATATTAGTTTCTCTTTGTGTTTAGTCACATACCCACAAAACCTTCACTATGACCCTCACTTATAAAACTGGCCATTGTGTAATGTGGTCATTTATAGCTTGAGGTCACTCTTTCAAATAATTAAAACAGAAGAAAACAAAATCTTTCCTCAAAGTCCAGAAGTACAAAGCTAAATAATCATAATACAAAACAAAAGAAAATGAAACAATTTTCCTGAGAAAACAACCACATCAATTATATGTGGTCAGGCAAAGGTATGACTAACTTACTAGATCTACTGTGTAGAGGAAATCTCCACAGTCTTGACTCTCAATTAATAACTGAAGGAAAATAGGTATCTGAAATCACTTGCCTATTTTTAGCTAGCCATATAAAAATGCAAAAATATTTTTCAACCCATAAAACTGTTAGAGTTCTTTATTCTTTCTTAAAATACTTATGTATTCAGAATATTTACTCTGCTTAAGAAAATATGAAAACTTTGTCTTAATTACCCTTTTTCCTTGTATTTTCTCTTTTGTTACTATATAACATACTTTACTTGACATTCTACTAAAAATGTTTTGAGGATACTCCTTGTCTGAAACTCTGTACTAACTATGTTCTCTGACATTAATTAAA